TCGTGGACTCCTGAGCTGACATTTCCTAAGGCGCTGCACTGCGGTTGAGGGAAACAATTAAGCAACACTCCCCCCTTCCCCCGCAATTCAAAGTTGAGAGGTTTTCGCAAGACCGCTCGGAGGCCCAAAATCGGAAGATCCGAAACCAACATTGCATTTGGGGGGATGGGGGGAGGTTCAAACCATATGTTCTGCATGAGTGTTGCTCAATTGTTTCCGACACCTGTGTCCAAACCTATCTTGTGAATCTCGAGGAAGAGAAAGCGCCGTAAACATGCATTGTCGGCGCTCCGCGCGGATTTCTTGACGACCTCGCCAGCATCGTCGGCCTCGCCGCCGTAGCTGCTGCTGATGCTGCTGCTGCGGAGGAGGAGGAGGAGGAGGAGGGGGAGGAGGGGGAGGAGGGGGAGGAGGAGGAGGAGAAGAAGGAGGAGGAGAAGAAGAAGAAACATAAGAAGAATAATAATAACAATAAGAAGAAGAGGAGGCGGAGGAGGAGGAGGAGGAGGACCCCCCCCGTCTCCTCCTCCCGTCCTCAAAACGGAAAAAGCACACAGACACAATGTCTGAATTAAATACAGTAAGTGGGAGAGGGGTGAGCGGGGCCGCATGACATTGCGGCTCAAGCTTTTTGGGGGCCCAGGCTCCCATGAACGAGCTGGTCCTTGAGATTGCTCGGGGACTCTCTACCTCCCTCGCAGTCCGCGCATCCACAGTCGGCTGCCCTGATTGCGTGTGCCAGTGCTCACCGACGCTGGCCTGTGCGGAAGGTTCTCTGCCTCAGGAGTACACGACCCCGACGGGCCCGAGCGGGCCGACATTCTTCGTCGTTGGCACGATCGTCGGAGCGCTCGGAGTGCTGGTGGTGCAGTACTGCGTGATCGGGGCTCGGGCCACGCCGACCGTATCGAACGCCGCCGCTGCTGGGTTTGCTCCGCTCACCGACGACGTAGAGAAGGTTGCGCTCCAGCAGCTGAATCTTCTTAGGCAGCGGCGCAAGAACTCGGCGTGATGGCTGCCCCTATTCCAGTGCAAAGCCTCGGCATCGAGGCCGGTGATTTTGGTGCTATCCAGTATAACGTGCCAGGTCCGCCCATCTTTCACGAGCGGCTCGTGCTCATCGAGCCCGGTGCTGGTTCGACCGTGAGCGTGCTCACCCCAGATGGAGATGAGTACGACGAGGATTGGCTTCATGGTGCAGATGTAGTGTCATTCGGATTGATGGCCTTAGGGGCCTGTGGAGGTGATCCTCCTGCTGGACCGGGTGGAGCTGTACTACCTGTTTATCGGTTTCAGAATGTACCCACGCCCGCGGTGTTCAATGCCGCCCGCGCCCGAGCGGCTGCCCGGCGGGGAGTGGCGGTGCCGATCGACGGCAAGCAGCCCAATTTGGTCGGGCGCGCGGTCGGAGCCGCCCCAGCTGGGGCCGCCGCCGCCGCGGAGGCCGTCGTGCCGGCCTTGGGCGGAGGCGCTGGCGCCTTGGCGGCTGCGCTTGGTCCCGCTCCTGGCGGCGGCCCTGGCGGCGCCGTGGCCGGCGCAGGCGCGGCCCTTGGCGCCGCCGCGGGCGCAGCGCCGGGTGCGGCCGCGCCGGGTGCCGCCGCAGCGGCCGTCGCATCGCCCCCCGCCATCGGCGCAGGCGGTGTGCTGGTACCCGCCGCCATGGCCCCAGGCGCCGCCGCCCCCACGGTCGCCGCATTCCCGACGGTGGACATCCGTGTGCAGCCGATCCAGCAGGACGTGAGCGGGGCCCGCTTCAGGGAGTTCAGGTTCGCCGTGGAGGGCATGGTCGAGACGCCCTTGAATGATTTCCCAGTGCGGGGGCCCCGCACTACGCTATGGCTCTGTCGGTTCATGGTGGCCAATGGCCAGACGCCTCTCGGGCGCCATGCTCGATGGAAGGCCGACGCCAAGCTGCAGGTGAACGACGGCGGAGTCGAGCAGCACCTCATGTGTTGTCAGATGTTGGAGAGTATGGCCACGTACGACCAGCTAAACCTCCCCGACATCGCGGCGGCCGAGATCATGTCTCGAACGATCCAGTTGTCCGAAGAGAGGCATCGTGACAGGATGCCTAGCATAGCTGGAGGTGGCTCGGATGGCGTGCAGGACGCCTTCTTGTACATGGGCCTCGACCACGTCCGCGGCAACGTCGCTGTCTGCCCATCCCTCCAGAGCTGGGTGTCGAGCGAGCTGCAGAAGGAGGTCTCGGTCATGAAGGAGAGGCGCAAGGCTCGGGAGGAGAGACAGAGCGCGAAGCAGAACAAGAAGAACCCCAAGAAGGACAGCAAGGATGATGGCTGATCATCCACGGGCGGCGGGACCAGGCCGCCCGCTCGCCCATCTTTCGGAGGCCTTCGAAGTCGGGCCACGCTCTGTGCCGCCCGGCCTCACTCGTGTACATATCTCTCCCCCCCCTGGGCTGGCGCCACCCTCGGTCCTGGACCGCGGCGCCGCCGCTTGCCAGAGCTCTCTTGCCCCCTCGACGCCTGGCCCTAAGCACGAGCCCGGTCCAGCGACCAGGGGCGCTCGCGAGCGTGACATTTTCCCTTTGCCTTTTTTGCCACGGGAGGTGAGGCAGTGCCAGGGGGCAGCGCAGCCTTGTCGGAATGCGGAGCGTCGGAGGCGTCGGGTTCAGTATTACAGTGATTGGGCCAACGACGGGGTTGCTTGTCTGAATCAGATGTCTGGGGAGGCCCCTACGGAGGGCCAGGTCACCGCTACTAATGCTGGTCAGAACGACGCCCTCCGACACATTCGCGAATGCTACGCTGCCATCTCTGCGCCTCCACCAGATCTGGCTCCAGGTGCGGGATCTTCACGTGAGATCTGCACAGCCTCTGGACTCTACGACGACGGGGTAGGGTCCACCATGAGGCCGTACAATCGGAGCTTACTTGCTCTTCCCGACCAGATAGATGCCACATGTGTGACAAATATGCTGTCGGCCGGGGACTCGGACTGGATGTGCAACTATCAGGTGAATTTGCTCAGGGACGCTAATGAGGCCACCTCCCTTCATCAGGAACTGGGTCCCGCGGAACCCTACGTGGACCCCTTCTTGAGGAACAACCCCACCGCCTACTCCGACTTCCTCCACCTCTTGTGCGACCGCGGGATGCTCGAATGGACCCTGGCCCCAAAGGATACCCACACTATCGGCGTGTTTTTCGTGGCCAAAAAAGACGGCAAAATTCGGGTTATATTCGATACCAGGGTGTGTAACTACTCGTTCAAGGATCCACTCTCCACTCGACTACCTACTGCATCTTCTCTCAGCCAGGTCGAGACCGACGGTCCGGTCTTCGTGGCAGCGGGCGATATCAACGCAGCTTTTTACAGGATGGGCTTGCCGCCGTTTCTCAGGCGCTACTTTCGGCTGCCATACACGGCCGCCCGACACCTGGGATTGAAGTTTTTGAACGGGCAACGACTCCACCCAGATACAGTCATCGCCCCCAGGCTCTGTGTTCTCCCCATGGGCTGGTCTTGGTCACTCTTATTATGTCAAAGCGTCGTTCGTCATACTATCTCGTCGTCTAAGGTTCCTACTTCCCTGGTCATCCTGGACGGTTTACCGGCTGTGGAAGTGAAAGGGGGGGACGTTGCCGTTGCGGGGTATGTAGACAATGTGCTGACGGTGGGGAGGGACAAATCGACTACCGAGGTGGTTTTGGGAGACATCAGGAGGTCTCTGGAGGAGAAGGGGTTTATTTTGCATCAGGTGGAGTCCGGGGCCCAGGATGCTGTTTTTCTTGGTCTCCAACTATCAGGTGGGGACCGACTTTCAATATAGCATCGTAATCTGCGGCGTCTGAGGTTTGCAATCGAGGCGCTACTGCGACGGAGGCGTTGCAGCGGGCACCTACTCAGGGCTCTCTTGGGACACATCACCTGGGCGGGCCTGATCAGACGTGAAGTTTACAGTATTTTACAGTGTAGCTATGCATATGTCACCAAAAACGGCCCTGGGGTCGCGGAGCTCTGGCCTGCTGTACGCCGGGAACTTTGGACCATCAGGTGTCTTCTGCCACTCCTGTGTGTGCGCTGGACGGCACCCTGGCATCCCACTGCGCTCGCCACGGACGCCTCGCCGTTCGGGCTGGGCGTGCGTACACGGCGGGCTGACCCAGCCGAGATCGGTGCCATTGGCCGAGTATCCGAAAAATGGCGCTTCAAGGTTGAGCGGTGCATCGACGCTAGGAATCACGCCCTCTCCGACTCCAGCTTCGCCCCTGACCGACACCCTGCTCCTACTGTACTGGGACCCGAAGGGGAAGGTATGAAGTGTGACAGGGAGGTTGGGTCTACGCTCAGTTCTTCTGGGAATGGGACTGGGGCTGTGGCTTGTGACGTGGTTGGTGGGCCTGTGTTCAGTTCTTCTGGGATGGGATCCACGACACCTCTGGAGGCTGGTTCTGGGAGCGGTTTCAGTTCTAGCCGGGCCGATACAACAAGGGTGACTAACATTGAGGACCTAGCTGTAAGTTTCGTCGAGATTAGCAATGATTTTATGGATGACAAACATTGGAATACTGTTATAGCTACCAGAGTAAGGCATAGGTCTAACATTCTCGAGCTCGAGGGCGACGCCTTGGTCCTGGGATACCGACATATCCTCCGATCTGGGGTTGCCCGAGGTTCACGGGTTCTGGCGTTGGTCGACAACCTACCGCTCTGTCTTGGGGCGGTCAAAGGCCGCGCTCGGTCCTCCTATCTCCTTCGACCTCTCCGACGTGTCGCTGCCCTTTCGCTCGCAACGGGGAGTCGCCTCTACGTTCGGTGGGTCCCGTCCGAGAGGAATCCGGCTGACAAGGGGTCCCGCGGGCAGTGTGGCTTCTTCGCAGGTCCCTCCTGGCTCGAGGTCCAACAACAGGCTCCGACCCCTGCACCACCGTCTCCACACCAGCCTCCGCGTGCACCTGCCGAAGCCAGATACCGCGAGGGCTCCCCACAGGCACACCCCTGCCACACCGACATAGGTGGCGGGACCGCCCCTGCAG